TCCTGAGGGACACTGTAGAGAGTAGGGGTTACAGTAGCTTGTGTGTTATGACATCAAGAAGGCTGAGTAGCAAGAGGAGACCCCTCCAGTTGCATAAGGGGAAGGCACTCAAATGTTCAGGACCCCTAAAAAATGGCTTCCATGATGATTTAGAGGATTAAAGCAAGGACCCTCACACCCTGTGATCTCAGCTGGATGCCGGGGCGTGGGTGCTGGGGAGGCCAGGGGGGCGGGCAGGATGCTGAAATTTGACAATGTAATCCTGAAGCTGGGAATAGCTCGGGATGACTAGACACCGTGGCTGACGCACACCTAGGTGTCTGAAGGACAGATGGAAAGTAAGAAGAGGGGAATTCCAACCAGCCAGGGAGGGCCCTAAATGTGTGGGACTCAGTACCCCGTGTGGCAGCTCTCAGGACCAGAAGAGTAACCAGCCACTCAGGATCCCCAGTAGGAGATGGTGCTTGGAACCAGAGCCAAGGTTTGCTTTATGTATTTAAAAAAAAAAAATCACAGTTCTAGGTGGTTCAAGGGCTGAAAAGGAAACCACATAGAGTGTGAAAGAAAAAAGTGCCCAAAGCACTCTCAACACCTCTGCTCATACAATGTCACATGCCATAAGGATGGGAAGGGGAAGCCAGATTGAATGCGGCGGCTTCTCATGCAAAGGGGATCAGGGTCATTAACCTTGGAGGTCTCCTGAAAGTCCCAGGGGAAACACAAGGACAAAGACAGGCTGCAGGAAAATAAAGGATGATGGGAGAGTCTCTCATGGGAGCTGAAGAGAGAATGCACTGTTGGCACACAAGGAGTTTTCTCCCAGTGGGAGATCCATGGGGCCCCGGGCTGGATGCTCTGGGGAGACAAGCATTAACCATACTGCCAGCTCAGTGCCAACCTCCCCTTAAAGTGAAGATGCCTTTGACACACAAGCTCACGGCTAGCAGCTTGTTTTAGACATGTTTGCACACTTGCACGAAATTCTGTGAGGAGGGGCCTTGTTACAGAGTCTCAATCCAGGAAGAAACTCCAGTGTCCACCAGCAGGGAACCTGCTAAATCTATTATTGTCTATGCCTCCAACCGTGACCCACACCAAGTCTGCCCAGGCTGTTCAGGGAAGACACCCTGCATGTGTCAATAAGTGATTATCATAAGGATGCAGAGCCCTGAGCCACTTGGATAAAAATGTGCTTTGTTGTGTGTGTGAGTGTGCACAGGCGCCCCGCTTCCCCTGACACAACAGTGACTGGGAGTCCAGTGTCTGCCAGTCACTGTCACTTCAAAAATGCATCACCCACCGCAGACTTTGTCATCTGTGTCCCTAGCAATCCCACTGCCAAGGTCCCAGTGCCTGGAGACGTTCACCTGTGTGTGTCTAGTATGAGAGCTACTCAGTGTTGTGTGTCTTGGGTTCCTTTGTTGATGCTGTGATAAAATACTCTCACACTTAAGGAAGAAAGAGCTTATTTCAGCTCACA